AGATTGCCCTCATAAAACACGCATGTGATTCTTACCCTGTGTCATTGTCTAGGTAACAAGGATCTATACAATTGTTCTATAAAAGCCAAAAGTTTATATTTTTGAGAATGCAGATCTCCCTTGAGTTTTATATGCCCCCTTGATGCCCCTAGGGAATGCACCATAATCTTCCCTTGTAGTAGCAAACTTAAAAAGCACTCGGAAGAGGTGTATTGTTCGTACATGCGTGTGGCTATGGGGTCTTTAAACGTGTCATTTTTCTCTCTCTTATAATTTAATGCTTATCACTAAAATATGAAGATTTCTTAGATAAAGAAAATGCCGTTATCTAATGGGCAGAAAATAACCACCCACCTCCTAGGATTACAGGGCCACATTTCTCAGAAATATTCAAGAACTCAGCCGAACATTGAAGAACGGTCTCCTTCCATCTTTCTTTAAGAAGGGTTTCAAGGTCATGGAGAGCAAGACCACATAATTAATTTTGAGTTCTTATTGTTCTGGGAAAGGGCATGATCTCTGAGATCCCAAGTCTCATGATGCTGCCAGTAATCCTGAGAAGGGGTTCCATCTCTTCCCTAATAATCCAACATGTACATGTCCTCTCGAAAAACCGATGCCACAAGTAATTTCTCATTAAGACAAAAAACATCTATATATCTCCCTATATTCTCTCTCCGAGACAAATGAAAAATGTGTTCCCTGTTCATCAACTTACGCATGTGAAACTTGGCACAAACCCTACATGTGTCAATAGCCATTTGATGCCAACAAAACTAAATCAAGGGTCATGAGTTACTTCAAATACATTGCTTCTCACCCTCCAACTACCTCCCATTCAAGCTTCATTCATGCTATCATGGATTGCTTTTTTGAAACTCGTTAGTGTGTTTCTCAAAAGAAATGTTTTTAATTTTTTTGCACTTCTCTCATACCCTTTTTCCTTTTGTACTAGGTACTTTTTGCTTAGATGATTCATAATGAAGATATTCTTTTTGCCCTTTTGGTAGGTCATTGCTTTGATTCGAACTTCGGACATGGTGCTGCATTTTGTCAACACCATAACTATCAACGCAGGTACTTGGATTGCAGGTTTTGTTTGTCACGACTTTCGTTGTTGGTTTGATGCATAACCCATACGCATTTCATTTAGTATCCAAGATATGGTTTCACTGGAAATTGTAGGGCTCAAAATGCATAAATAATCCCATGCCAAGAGTCTAAACATGTTTTCTCAAGGAAAATTGTTTAGTCAATGGGCCCGCTGACTTACAAACATCTATCCTAAAGATGGACATTATTTAAAGTGTATATGGACGGTGCATAAAAAAAGTACTAAAAAATTATAGTTTTAATTTTTTATATTTATTTTTTTATATTTATGTTGGCCTACATGAATCTACAAAAAACATAAAAAAAATAATCTAAAATGAATTTTAGTAGGGGTCCGCATGTGTACATATGAGTCAGCCGACTAATAAAAACACCATCATTTTCTCAAATTTTGGTAAACAAGTGTTGTAAACGGATATTTTAAAATAGGACAACCCTGAATCGCCACTGCTCCAATTTCAATTTACCCAATCCACCTCGAGCAGATCCAGAGCAAGGTACTTGTACCGATACAACTAAAAAATAAAAAAGATATTCAAATTAGGCCTTGAGGGCCACTCGAGGGTTCCTCAAATTGGAATCAACCATCTACGTATCCTGATCGAAATTGGGCTATTCCGAATCGAAATGGTAGTTTTAAATCACGGATTGTAGCTTATATCTCTTGGCTTGGAATCCCACAGCTGACCTATCCAAAATAAATAAATAAATAAATAAATAAAACAATATAGTTAAAGAAAGAAATTTGGTTTGATCAATCTCAAAAAACCAATAGACTAAACCCTAGCCCAAAAAATCTTAGAACCCTTAGAAATTAACAAGTCAACATTGTGGATTGCAATTTTCCCCTTGAATAGACTCAAAACAGAAAAGCCAATCTGGTAGGTTAGCCATTTAACTATAATTTCGGGAAAATACAAACCCCCCTAAGTATACTATCTATGCAATTTAACCCCCAGCTAACTTTTTTTCTCACTTTTTTTCCCACAACCATCTTTCCTCGCAAAACCCCCCAATCTAAAACAAAAGAAAAAAAAACTAAACTACCCCCCTCTCTCGCCTCGTAGCTTTTACCCATGACTCTCTCCGCATGCGCTCCGGTAGTCCATTTAAACTCTCTGACAATGAAGACATGCGCTCCGACAATGCAAGGACTCGCTCTGGCAATACACCTTCTGGAGTCATAGCGCTCCGGCGGTGGAATAGGTCGCTCCGGCAATGAGGGCACACGTTCTGGCAGTACAAAGACACACTCCGACAATACACGTTCTGGTGCCACAGTGCTACGACGGTTGAATAGGTTGCTCCGGCAATAAAGACAAACGCTCCAACAGTACAAATACGCACTCTGGCAGTACACCTTTGGGAGCCACATCGCTCCAGTGGTTGAATTTATGCTCCGACAATACGCTACTTGGGATCGTCAATTGACTCTTTTTTTTTGTAAGGAAGGGCATTTTCGTCTAAAAAAATAACAACTTTTTAACTTGGGATGTTTTGTGAGGAAACGTGATTATGGGGGAAAAAATGAGAGGAAAAGGTTAGCTGGGGGTAAGCTGTATAGATAGTATATTTTGGGGGGTTTTTGTAATTTTCCTTAATCTTCTGGGTAAAGAATAGTTCATCGATTATTCTTGAGTAATATGCGGTGCTTGATTGGCAAAGGGGATACTACCAGATTTTGGTAGCAGAAATGGTGTGGGGAGTGAGTCTCCTTTAACGTATCAATTTCAAAATTTATTTGGTAAAGTTAATTCAAAAAGCAAAATTTGTGAGTGAAATGGTGGAGGGTAAAAGTTATGAAGCTAATTGGGATATTAGTTGTTCTTATAGAAGAGTTATTCAGAATATTAGTGAGGAGTATATTCAATGCTTGGACTTGCTTCATCAATAGTTTTACTGTCCAAATCATAAAAAGATAAAATTTTATGGGAACAAGTGGGAATGGCTTATTCACTGTTAGTTCTGCTTATAAACTATTATTCAATAATCGTATTAGATGGCCAGATATGGAGGCTTGTAAAGTTTGAAAATAGCCTATACCTTTAAAAGTTAAGGCTTTCTTATGGTTACCTAAACTTGCAAGGCTTTTAACTGTTGATGTGCTTAGAAAGAGAGGTATGATTATGCTTTGTAAAGAGCATGAAGAAAATATTGATCATCTCTTTATGAATTGTAGCTTTACAAGATCTATTTGGCAATGGTGTGTGGGAATGATTGGAGTTAATAAGGATATCCCTATGCAAATGGAAGAATTGTTTGGAGATTGGCTGAGATTGGGTTTGGGAATAAAAGGATGAATTATATGTAAAGTGGTAAAATATGTTGTTTTTTTGGGAAATATAAAAAGAACGAAATAGAAGATGTTTTGAAGGAATTAGGAGGCCAGTAGAAGAGATGAAAGGAAAAATTAGATTCACAGTACGTGAATGGTTAGCCATTAACAAAAATTAGCGAGGTGTATCAAAATTAGATTTGATGTATAACCTAATACATTAGTTCTCGAAAGACTTCCAAAGGAAAAGCGAATTGGTATATGGAAGTGTCCAGCAGAGGGATGGATAAAGGTAAATTTTGATGAGAGTACTTTAAGAAATCCTGAAAATGCAGGAATGGCAGGCATTATCCGAGACAGTGAACGAAGAGTTCTTTTGAATTTTTTGGTCCTCTTGAGAGTACTACTGCAAATCAAGCAGAAGTTCGTGCTTTATTGGAAGGTGTTAAGTTGGCAAAGAGGTTTAATAAACCAGTGCTTTATTGGAAGGTGTTAAGTTGGCAAAGAGTTTTAATAAACCAGTGGAAATTGAAGGTGATTCACTAAATGCTATTAAATGAGGGAGTATCCATGGAAATTGCAGCTTTATTAGAGAGAACGGATTTTTGTTTGAACATGGAATGTGTTTTTGTACATGCGTTTAGGGAATGCACTATGGAGGCAGATATTCTAGCAAAAACAAGAGTTGTGGCGACATAATTGAATATTAATTTGTAATAGTTTGGAGGATAATTGTTGTCTTAGTTTCGTTTGTTTGTTTTTTTTTTTTTTTTGGTATTCGTCAGTATGTAATTTTTTGTTTTTTCCTTGCTTTTCCTGTTTCAATTATGTACTGTTTTGAGATTCTATAGCAATAAAAAGTCGACTATTTAAAAAAAAAAACAGTTCAACGAGCTTTCACTAACTTAGCTTCCATATCCTCCTCCAGCTAAGAGACTTATAAATAAAACCCCATTCAGTTACATGTTTTAGAATGGTATAGGACCGTGACAATAGTATTACCGAACCCCATGTTAAAGACTCTTATCACCAAAAGATAAGGGCTCAAATCCCCATTTACTTTACCACTTTTTTCTTTATTTTAATGGTATTTTTGTGCTGAGCGTTGGTCTGTGGACTTCAAATTTTACTAACCAAAAAAAAAAAAGACTTAGAAATAAGGAACCTCAAAAATCCCTCGAAAAAGGTTGTTATGACGTTGAAAAAACATCTAATTACTCATCTTGACATTGAGAAAAATAGACATGAAGAAAAGAAAGATTTCAAGTCCCAATAATATTACTTCTTGCAATAAATAATCTAGAATGTCTATTTTTAAGATTTTCACTCGTTTATAGATCTGTTTGGTTTGAAACATTTTTGGAGTTTAAATTTTATAATTAGATATGAAAATGCATTATGATGCCATACTAAGAATTTTCAACACCAAAATTGCATCTTATGACTAGTTGGAGGTGCACCTCACTATGATTGTTTAAGGTTGCAACCCTATGTAAACCACACCCTATAAATAAATTTTCCTTCTAAATTCTTATTTCAACTTTATCATTTAATTTCCTTTTTACATATTTTCTCATCTCTAATAATTAGATCTAAATCAACTAATAAGATATCAATGAAAGGTACGTTAGATCAATATAAATATATCTATCAACATAACTAGAAAATTAGCAAATCAAGGAAAAATCTGTTTACACTCAGTGTACCCATATAAATCTTCAAATACGATCACACGTTAACATAAATTGCAAAAAACTAATCATAGAAACTGACTCCAGATTTAAATTTCATCTTCCTCAAATGGGTCTCGTTCAGGGTAGTCTCCAACCTGCAAAAAAGCATTCCCCTGGTAAATGACATTCAGTAATTCAAGAATGTTTTAACAACAATGAGCAATGAGAAAATTTCCCATCATTCCCAACCGCAAACTTACAACAAAAGAAACCAGATAATAATGCATATTGGCGTTGGTGGGTGGGTGTATGTGATACTAATGTTCCTACGAGGATGTTCCTAACAGTATAACGAAATCACAAGTACACAACCAAATGGCCTACCCATAAAATTAAGATATGCCTCACAGAAAATAATATGTTACAAGACCAAGAAAGGCATTTTCTTAAAATGGAATGAGACCAATAGGCAAACCTTGTTGGATGTATAACCTAACCCTTTGGTGTATACTCATCCGAATTTATTCAAGGGGCTAGTATACACCAATACAAGCACAAAGAAGATGACAAATACAGCAAAGAGGGACAGATAGAACTTCTTAAAATTCACTTTTACAACTCAAAAATAAAGAAGAAAAGGACCTCATCATAACCCCCACACACTTTCCATTCAATTACACTAGTGAATGAAACATTACAACAAGACAATGTGTGCTTGATTACAAAATTCAACACTACAATTTCCATCACATTATCACACACTTTCAAATACATCAAAACTAAACACTATTACATTCCTTCACTTTGCATAGCATACAAACTAATTACGACTCAATTATGAAAGAACTAACCATGAGAAGCCAAATAAAGAACTCGTTTGCTCACAGGTCACCCCCAAAGAGCAATACACCCAAAATCTGATCTCCACTTTCAATAGTGTGGGGTCTAGTGCTCTCCTCACTCCTCACTCCTCAATATAGGAGGCCAACCAAGAAAGCAATCTTGCTGGAAATTAATTTGCAGCTGATATTGCATCAAAATGGAAGCTCCTTGATGCTTCTTTAGTGCAGGAGTGAAACTTGGCTGAGTTTCTGCTCCAAGGAGTTGAAGGGACTAAAGGGTTCCAATGGTGGTCTCTCATACTCATGGATTATGGACCATGGAAGCCATGGTCATAGGGCTAGAACACTCAACTCTCCTCTCTATTGGGGCACCCCACTCCCTAGACTCTCTCACTCTATTTGGGCATCATAGCAATGCGTTGAATTAGAGTGAGAAAATGATAGGGTGAGGCCCCCTATTTTATAGTTGCAGAAGAGGACTGTGTAGAAGCTTCTTGGGAGGAGGAATGAGAGCCCTTGATCATAGAGATCAATGTGGTGAGAGAGGCTTTGATCTAAGTGCTCCGTCCTTGCCTAGCTATCATAGATCAAGGGCTAGAAATTCACACCATTGTCCCTTGGGTTTTTAGACTCAAATTTCCTTTCCAAGATGGAATTGCACTTTCCCACTAAATCTTAGCTTAATTGCCTTCATACCCATCTAGATTGAAATGATCAAGAGAGAGAAGAATCTAGAAAGGGGGGTGTGCCCCTAAGAAATAATCCTTCTCTCAGTTCACATGAAATGAGAAAGATAATGAAAGACACTTCCTCTCTCTTGTTCAAGTAACTTCCTCTCTCTTGTTCAAGTAACTTGCAAATGAGATGAATGAGAGAGTGACAAGTCTCATGCAAGTCGGCTTTTTTATTTTCATTAGCCCTAGGTTTTCAATTGAAATATCAAATCATATGCCCCTTCTAGAAGATCCACCCATGCGCATTCCTAATTTTAAGTCCATAAAATAGGGCACTCCACTAGGCTTATCTTAGAATACTTGACCATTTTCTCAAATCAATCCCATGGAACCCATGACCCACAATCTTCCTTAGGAAGTCACGCTTGGTCCATCAAAGCTGACTACTAGATGACCAGTGGATTGCAGGTGCCTCCCAAGGACAAGTATATTATGCACCTGCGAGGCTGAGACTGTAGTCACTATCAAACCATGGTGCAGGGGTCCTTTCTCAGCACATATGCACAGCCCTAATCTGGAACATAACCCAAAAAGGGCGGCTTCCCATTTATTCAATTATAAATAAGTTGAGGCTTTAGCCCTTGCCCTCACAAGCAACCAATCTACACGGGGTGTCCTTCCTCCAGCTTATCTGATGCGGGAAACAAAGAGAAAAGATCGAGAAATGGCTCAAAATCAGGTAGATATCAAAGGACCTTAACTGTGATTCAAAGACAATAGGTTGAAGCAAACAAAGCCTAGCTTCAATGGCTCATTTGAGGGTCCAAAGCCACTCCTAATGGGAACTAAGTTCCTGATTTTCCGAGAATTACAGTAAAAACATTGACTTTCAGTGGGGTAAGGTCTCCCGATTTAATTGATTTGGCTTGGCTACAAACTCAATTCTCTTTTAACTTTCCTAGGAACATTACTTCTCAAGTCATGCAAAATACATTTTCCCAAGCCATCCACAATACCACTTCCCAAGCAAGATTTTAAATTCAAATTCAAATATTTCCCTCCAAATGTTTCCCACGCCCTAATTTTAATAGAACCCTCCTGAATTTTCTGTAAATTCCAGGAAATTCCATTACAGAGAAAAAACCCCATAATGCCCTTGCAAAACCCCCCCAAAAAAAAATACAATCCAAAAAAAAATCAAAAATTTCTTTTATTTTCTTCATCAATCTCCCTGGGTTAAAGCGAACTCGACTTCGAGTTCGAACCGGCAATGAACTCCTCAAGGGCTTTTGAATCAATCTTCATCAATTTTGCTTTAGAAATCCACAAACTCTCTGTGCATTGGATTGGCCCTTCCACTGTAGTAAATACTGACTATAATTCCCTCGCGGGTGGAGATGATGTGGCTGTCTAAATCCTTTCTACCTCATCCTCCTTTTGCTTCGGCAGATGTGCATCCCAACTAACCAACTTCCACATGAACATCCCCATGATACACATAGAGGTCGGAAATGTTGAAAATAGGAGGAATTTCATATCCTTTAGGAAGCTTGACCTTATAAGCATTGTGCCCCATCTTTTGAAGTACTCGACGAGGGCTAATCTTCTTATATTTAAGCTTATGGTAAGTACCTCTTGGAAAGCGCTCATGCCTAAGGTACATCATTACCAAGTCTCCTACTTCAAAGGTCTTTTCACGTCGGTGCAAGTCGGCATCAGCTTTGTAGTTGTCGTAGCACCTTTGTAGTCTTTCCCGAACTTGTTGATGGAGGTCTTGAATGTACTCAGCCAAAGCTTCCACATCATCGCTAGCTCACACCCTTTCGGTCAAAGGGTCTTGGTCAAGCACCTTGCTTGGTGGATGACCATACACCCACTCAAATGCCTGTGAACCGATTAGGGGAATTGTTCTAGGCAAATTCTGCCTGAGGTAAAACTCAATCCCATTAAGATGGCTTGGCCCCGGCAAGGCTTCTCAACAACTCTTTAAGACTCCAGTTGATGACCTCGGTTGTCCACCAGATTGAGGGTGATAGGCACTACTATATTGCAGTTTGGTGCCTAATTTTTCCACGAGGATTTTAAAAAATTGCTCACAAATCTTGTGTCTTGGTCAAGTGATGGTCTTAGGCACACCATGAAGGCGGACCACCACCTTAAAGAAGAGATCAGTCACTTGAGTCGCATCTAAAGTATTTTGAAAAGAAAAGTGGGCCATTTTAGAGAACATATCTATCACCACAAAGATAGAGTCACACCCTCTCGAGGTGAGGGGAAGTCCTACCACAAAGCCCATACTCACATCTGTCCATGGTCGGTCGGGGATAGGTAAAGGAGTATAAAGACCAGTGTTTTGAGACGGACCCTTCGCCAACTGGCACACTTGGAAATGCTCGCCGAACCAGCTAACATCTCACTTTAGTTTGGGCTAAAAGTACTTTTCTTCCACAAGTACTGTAGTCTTATCCCACCCAAAGTGATTACTAATGTTGTCACCATGCATTTCACCCATGATTTGGATGCAAAGTGACCCCTCGAGAATGCAAAGTCAACTCCCTTTGAAGAGAAAACCATCCTGCAAAACAAAAATAGCATATGTTTCCCTTTCTCCTTGTGCAAGTTGCTCAAGGATTTTAGAGAAGTAAAGGTCTATAGTGTAACTGTGAGGTAGGGACCAATAAACAACTGAGGTGATAAAGTAACAAGGAGGTGACACTTCCGGCTGAGAGCATCAAGCACTTTGTTTTGGCTGCCTGATTTGTGATGGATTACGAACGTGAACTCTAGTGTTAGCAAGCCTATGATTCAGTTTCTCTTGAGCACTCAGATACTTCAAAGCTTCATTGTTTGAAAATAAGATAAATTTTCTTTGGATAAGGTAGTGTCTCCAATGTCTCTTGAACCACGGCCTAGAACTCCACATTATAAGAGGAATAATTAATCTTTGCCCCACTCAGTTTCTCGCAAAAGAAGGCCATGGGTCTGCCCTCTTGACTTAGGACACCTCCAATTCCCTCCTTCGAGACATCACACTCCACTTGGAAGACCTTTTCAAAGTCTGGAAGCGCAAGGACAGGAGCACTTGTCATCCTTTCTTTCACCAATTTAAAGCTGTTTTCAGCAGCTAATGTCCACTCAAACACCTCTTTCTTCATGCAATCAGTTATGGGTCCTATCATGATGCTTAAGTTTCTGATAGACCTCCTGTAAAATGTTGCTAAACCATGAAAACTTCTCACCTCAGTCACTGTGTTGGGTTTCGGCCAGTCCACAATGGCTTGTACTATGGTAGGATTCATCTTGACCCCTTTGCATGATGCCATGAAACCCAAAAATACTAGGTTATCAGTCAAAAAGGAACATTTTCTGAGGCTTACAAATGAATTTCCTTTCCAAAGGACCTCTAATACCTGCTATAAATGCAGAAAATTCTCATCAGTGCGTGCACTATAGATCAGGATATCATCAAAATACACCACTACAAACTTGCCAATGAATGGGTGAAGCACTTGGTTCATTACTCTCATGAAAGTCCAATGAGCATTAGAGAGCCCAAAGGGCATCACTAGGCACTTATATAGGCCCTCTCACATCTTAAACACAGTCTTCCACTTGTCTACATGCTTTATACGAATCTGGTGATAGCAACTTTTCAAGTCGATTTTGAAAAATACCCTTGATCCCGATAACATATCCAGCATATCGTCAAGTCAAGTGATTGGAAAATGGTATTTCATTGTCATTTTATTAATTGCTCTACTATCCACACACATTCTCCATGAGCGAACTTTTTTTCGAGTTAACAAGGCGGGAACTGCACATGGGCTCATGCTCTCATATCAACCCTTTCTCCCATAACTCAGTTACTTGCTTATGTAAATCCTCGTGATGCAATGATGAATGGCTCTCATTGGTGGCAACCATTGCTCGCAAAATCGCCCGATCTAACCAGTAACCACCTAGTTAGATCGGAATCGGCCAGTGGCCGGTTCTAGTTTTGGACGGTTAGGGTGATCAACTGGTATTTAAAAAAAAAATCAAAAAATGTATATAAATTCTCAAAAATAAGGAATTTGATTTGTAATGCATTTTTAAATATTCTTTACATTATGGTAAAGAATAAAAAATGTTTTGGTCATTGATACTCACTTTTATATTTTCCCATCTTTTTTAGAAAATTTTAAAAATAGCCCTTAAAAAATATAAAATGGGTTAAAATCCTTTTTTTTAATTAATTTTCAACTTCATTTGCATGAGTTTTGTTTTAATCATTCTCTATATGCTTTTCATATTTTAGTAGATTTTTTTTGTATTTTTTATTTTTTTCAACACTTTCTTGACTGCCCGGGACTTGCCCGGTTAGAGCGGTTGAATCGGCCGGTTTATCTGTTAGGCCGGTTAAACCGCTTCCAGGCCCATGTCCGATTAACCGTTCCGGTGATTTTGCGAACACTAGTGGCAACTCATTAGGTAGTTTATCAGGCATCACATCCTTAAACCTATCTACTAGGGGCTTAACCTTTGTTGGGATTTCATTTAGGTAAGACCCTTCTTTGGCTACCAAAGCATACACTACCCCTTGTTCATTGCCTTCTTCAACAATCCGATTCAAAGTAAGGACAACATCTCCTTTCCCACTCTTGGGTTCAGGCTTGTTCTCCTCCTTTTAACAATTTCGAAACAATTTTCACCCCATCCTTCCAAAAAGAGTATGTATTATGTCCGTGGTGTATGGCAGCTTGGTCATATCACCAAGGACGACCCAAAAGGATATGCATACCAAATGGAATCATTATAAGTTTTATTAAAGGAAAAATTAATTAAGCAACGAGAAGTTACCGGAGGCTCATTACCTTTCCAAAACCATGCTATTTTATAGGGTTGTTGGTATTTCTTGCATGTCAACTTCAACTTGTGGACAACCTCTTGAGACACCATATTACCGCAGCTACCACTCTCAATGATAATGGTGCACACCTTCCCAAGGACTATACAATGAGTCTAGAAGATGTTAGTTCGGAACCACTGCTCTTCTATCACCTTTAGGGTAGTGAGTATTTGTCTAATGACAAGAAAATCCCCCTCATCAGGCTCAATTTCAGCAACATCTTGTTCATTTTCCCCTACCTGCTCCTCATTGAATACTAGCCCTGTGACAATGTCTCTTTCATTCGCATCATCCCCATCTAAGATATGTGTTCCAGCATGATGTTTCCAGCACTCATAGGACCGGTGGCCAACCTCGCCAAATTTATAACACTTTACACCCTATTCTCTGGTTTGGATGTGTCTATTGGCAGCTGGAGGTTTACCCTTAGATGCCTCATTTGAGTGTGAATTACACCCAACTTCTCATGGCTTTTGATTTGCCACTTGTCCCCTTTGAATTGTGGTTGATTTCCAGCCACTAGTTTGATTATTTTTCCACTTGCTTTCAGCTTTCGAGGTCACTTGATAAGCCTCATCAAGACTGAAAATCTGGTGTAGAATTAGTTTGTTTTGAATTTGAGGTTTCAGTCCACTCACATACCTTGCAAAAAGCTGGTCATCACTATCATTGACTTCATTCTGGCTCATAAGGAGGAAGAATTCATCTATATACTTTTGGACACCCTTTTTTTGTCACAAATGATGGAATCATTTCTTGCGCATAACCAGAGGGTACAAATTTCTCCTTAAGACGCGACTTCACTCTCCTCCAAATCACCATATTTTCTTTCCCCTTTCACACTCGACTAGCTTGCACCTGCAGCAACCATATTTGGGTATGCGCCTTGAGTCGGGTAGGCACAAATTTGACCTTCCTTTCTTCCGGGAAATCTTTCCACTCAAAGAAGACCTCCACACTGTCTAACCACTCCAAGAACTCATTGGGCTGAAATTTTCTAGAAAATTCAGGGACATCCACTTTGATTCCTAGATCCAACCCAGCTAGGGTACAAACCGACCTATCCTCCAATGAAGGGTTCTCCCTTCGGTTGTGGAAAGGATTTATAGTTTCTTCACTCGATTCCTCACTTTCGTGAGTGACCAACTCTCGATCAAAGGGGGCAAGCAACCCCCAATTGCTCTATTTCATTGAACCTCAATAAGTCATCATATCCTGCCCTTGGCACAGCACACCCTCCTCGGCCTCCATGTTCTCCTCTATTGGTCATAATTCAAGGTCCAAAAGAGAGAACTCCTGCTCAGATACCACTTGATGAACGAAAGAGAGAGAAAAGTCAGGGAAATAGATCAAAATCAGGTAGAAACCAAAGGAACTTAACTATGATTCAAAGACAATGGCTTGAAGCTAACAAACCTAGCTTCAATGGCTTGCATGAGGGTCCAAAGACACTCTAAATGGGAACTAAGTATGTGATTTTCTTAGATTTACAGCAAAAATTTAATTTCCAGAGGGGTAAGGTCTCCCCTTTTAATAGATTTGGTTTGGCTTCAAAGTCAAAGGTTTCTTAACTTTCCTAGGAAAATTAAATGGACACCACCCCTTTCCAAGTCACGCAAACTGCATTTTCCCAAGCCATGCACAATACCACTTCCCAAGCAAGATGTCATATTCAAATTCAAACATTTCCCTCCTAATTTTTCCCATGCCCAAAATTTAAAAGAACCCCCCTGACTTTTCTATAAATTCGAAAACAGTCCATTACAAAGAAAATTCTCAAAATACCCCTGCAAACCCAAAAACCAAAAAAAAAAAAAAACAAATTGTAGCCCAAAAGAAATCAAAACTTTCTTTTATTTTCTTCATCATTATATCTCATCAAGATATCCTTTCTCTCGATCCCTCACAGGCACCCCTGTGTACCGGGATTAGCCTCCACTGTTTGGTTCTAGGCTCACACTGACCTGGACTATAGGGTAATCCACAACCCTCACAATGCCCCGCTAAACCTATGACTGAGGTGACTCAAGACACCTCTTCTGGGCCCAAGACCACTGAGGTCCGGTAAGTCACTGGGCATACGGTCCCATTCTCCCATTGGAGTCAAAATCCACTATAAAAGAGCATGAGTTACACGATGTCAAGGCCTTGAAAGGCTACATAAATGCAAAAACCTATCCCTAAATTTTTCAATCTCATAAAAGTATATGTACATGTGCATGTATATGGTTATGTATACACATAAAACCATATCTATGCACCCCATATACGCTAATAGTACAAAGAACAGAAATACAACCAGATGGCTCTCCCAAAACACAAGAACACGACTTAAAGAGAGAGAAAAATGTTCTTTAATTCGCTTTCTTTCATGGTTTGAATTTGAGCTGCATTCTCTCTAGACCAGGAGACGCACTTTATGGAACGAGGCATCTGCCCAAACCTGTCTCCGAACTTCTTCACTCATAGATTGTACAAAAGGAAAAATGTAAATATGCATACAGATAAAAAGAAAATCTCTAATATCCAATGCTCCAACCCCCAAACTCCAATGGGACACAAGTCTATTTCTACTCTGAAGATTGTAAACATCTAGCATCTCCAAGATCGGTGGTTCTTATCTTTGTCACTAGTTTCAAGGGTATCTTGGGAATCAAGGCCATGTGTGCAGTCATTATCTAACACCCCTAAAAAATATGGTTTATTGAAAATTTAAATGTCATCACATTCTATAAATCCTTATTTACCATTCATGTTTGTCCCTTGTGATTCTGGGATGAAGTTATTCCTATAGTTGTCTTTTTCTTGTCAAGCACTTGGGCTATCAAAAAAACTCAGTTACTCAAATTTACTGCTCAAGGAACCTATCAGCTCAAATTGCAAAATGTAAGAAATTAAAAAGAGGAAAAGAAGTTTGATCACAAATGTCTTGCATCAGATATCAAATATTGAACATATATGTTTCAATAAAATAAAAAGTTCATAAAGGCAAATGACACCGAAACAAAAGAAAAAAAGGTCAACAGCAGCATTCTTTTTAGAAGTTCAACACTGGTATAAACAAAGGGAAAGAGATATGTCATTAAGTGCCTGATACAAAAATGAACAATGCTGTGGAATTAAGAGAGAATTGCTTGCATGCAAGGAATAAGAAGTGTGATAGCTAGTGTCCTGTTCACATCCAAACATGTTTTGAACCTTATCAAATATAGAACATTTATTGTTCAATTAACCAAAAAGTCTCAAAAAGGTAATTAAGAGCTAAAAGGAAAAGTGGAAACAGAAGTCAGCAGCATTCTTTTTGTAAGTTAACCAGAAGCATAAATCAGACCAAAAATATTGATGCCATAAGTGGCCATACAAAAAAGACGGCAGCACAAAATTAAGAGACAATTGCTTGCATGTGACAAGCACACACATATTTGTGTGTGAGATGCTTTCACCATCCAGATCAGTAAATTGTTACAAACCTTAACTTTGTCTGGTCTAAGCATTGCTCCATGGAGAGGAGGACATTCGAAGTAGCGCTTCCCCTTCACCCTGCAATAAATTTCACACAATTTATGGAGGAAACCTTTATGTATATATAGAAACAGGAAACATAAAAGGGACTCCCCAAGAATGTCTTCAATTTAGCATAATGACGTGCGTGCCCAAACAGACAATGCATTGGCTAGCAACATAAAACAAGATTTGAAATTACAGATTTTTAGAAATAAGCATTGAACTGAATATAAAAATCATCTTCAAAAGTCACATGAATACGTGACAATAGAATCCAAAGAGAAGCTGACATGTATATTGGAGTTCTTAATCATCAATAAGAGGAAACTCATTGAAATTTTTATTGCTAAAACACTACAATATACAGATACACAAATTTCCATTTAAGTGATAGTAGTATCAACTTAATGAAGCACAAATCAAAAAATATAGGCCACGACTTCACAAGTAGCGTTACAAGTCCCTGAAACAACACACATAAAATGACAAAGCAATCACAGAACAGTACAGTTAGGTTTTTGCATACAAGGTGACTATCATGAAAATAAGTAGAACCCATATGAACAATAAATGAATCAATTTCTCCCCTCCCACTTTACACACTCCATAATTTCTTCTACAGTACCCTTCCCCCTGCCCCCTGCCACCCCCCACCCCCCCTTTTATTTCCTTTTTGTTCCACAACAACACATGCACGAACACATGAATGCACATGCGCGTGCACACACACACACAAAAACAAAAGATTATCAACACAAGCCCCTTCGGCAAAATCGAAATCACCATAACCAGGTCCATCACTCACATCCAATTGTCTTCCAATCTTTGGCCTCCCTCTTTGGCTGCAAACACCTCATAGAGCTTACCTTCCCCCAATCCACCACACACCCTCCAATCCATCAAACATCAGAAACTTTCATATTCAGGGACGGCATCATTTCAGTAAGGCTTGCACTGATGCGAGCAAGAGTAGTACGCACATTCAACCCTCCCCGTCATGACAATGGAGGAATGAGTTAAAAAGAGATGGAGAACCAACATACCAGTCTCTTCTCAAAAGGGACAAAATTCTATTCTTCCTCGAAGCACAGGATGAAACCCAAACGTTTCTAAGAGCAACGTGGCTCAGTTTCACAGGGGTTGTCCTCCACCTCAAACCCTTGAGCTCCTCCGATGTATCCACCAACATCCATCAAATATGGATCCTTTCCAAAATAATCCCTCTACATGCCTGGAATTTGAAAGTTTCCAAAGAGAGGGTAATGTTTGCAGTAAATTTGTCCAACTCAACACTGGTCATATTTGACAGAAAGCTCCCTAAGCTTTGTCCATATCCTAATCAAAACCCCCATCCACTTTCAGATTCAAGATTCCATCACTCTCTGTTTGCAGGCCAAATACCTCATCCTCATACTCAACCTATCCCCGCAGACTCCCCCATCAAACCCTTAAGATATTTTCAACTCCAATCCAGACCATGTTCCATCCACGTCATCCCTGCCTCTTCAGTCCATCCCTGATATTGTTTCAAACACTCACCAGCTCCTCAACTAAACACTGATGGCTGAACCCTGCTGGACATCAAAGAGACCCCAGAGGAAAAAGAAAAGTACTTGCCCGAATCCTCATCAAAAAGGAAACATGACAAAGTAGGGATACGAGAACAAACCCAGTTGAAGAGGCTGGTACAAATCCTTGACCTTCACACGTCAAGGTCGCCATGGTAGTCCACTCAGTCTCTCATCCATGGAAGGCAACAGCCACGCTGTTTAGCTTAGACCCCAGATCAGCACAGCTCAAAGTCAAATGAATTTTTTAAGTTGAATTACATCTCATATTCAAATTCAAATCACAGCATTGATCGCAATGTTGACTTGGCATGAAAGAGAGAGAGAGAAAGAGAGGTTAGTGAAACCCCTTCAGTTCTCACTTGGGGATGCATGTCTCCTTTATTATATATAATAGTTGGATTACGTGTATTGCACGTAGAATAGAATAATCATTCATTTAAATTATCCTATAAATATGAAACGTATGAATTTTTTGTTATCGTGAAATGAGCACATGATTTTTCAATGGGTGATCAAGTATGTATCCATCATTTTATCATTTTAATACAGGAATATTAAAAAAAAAAGATGCAAAAAATGAACATATATCATTTGATTTCATGAAAGTACATGCAAGATGATAAGAAAAAAAAATGGAAAACAAAAAAGTATGCTTGCATGAAGCAATTCTATTGATTTTGATAAATATTACACTACATAGAATTGAACATATGTTATTTGATTTCATGGAAGTACAACATGCATGATAACAATAAAAAAAGAAAAAAGAAAAAAAAAATGTAATATGCATGCATGGGGCCAATTCCATTGATTATGCAAACAATAAAAAAAATTTAAAATTTTATTTTACTATTTTTTTACTACTACTGCCTCATACCTTTAGAGAGTAAAAAAATAAATGTTTTTGGTACATGTTTTGGTAATGTAGTAATAAGCATCAAAACGATAAACAAAACCAATAGATCTTTTAGAAGTCGCTTAAATAATAAAATGAAAGAACAGATCTTTATTTTTTATTTGAATATTAAATTAAAATAAAATAAATTTCATCACATAATAATATTTTAGAAGTCGCTTAAATAATAAAAATAAAAAAGAAATTTTCTTAAATTTTTTTTTTATAATTTTATAATTACAAATGAAAGCATAAAATATTGGGAAAAAGAAAAATAGTGGGCATAATTTTGAAAGCTATTTGAAACGTTACAACTAAAAAATTCAAAATTCGTCAAAAGTATCTCCAAAGCATGAAATTATGTATTTATAATTATAGATTTCTTCAATCTCTGCAACAACAAAAAAAAAAACAGCTTGATTTTCTTTTCAGTTGAAACAATAGAATTATTTTTAAATCTTAAAAAATAAAAAAAATCATAAGTCAGGCCTAAAAAGTTTTGAGAGCACAAAACTACTTAAATTAAAATATTGAGAGTTAAAAGAAAATCGGGGTGGTTGTTTGCAATATTTATAAAAATAAAAACATAGAAACGATTATTTTGGAAATTGTAAAATTTTTATCCATAAATAAAAAATAAAAAATAAACAGTACAAAACCAAAAAGGGAAGGTTTAAAATATTAAGATACAAATTCACCAAGCTTAATTTAACATAAAAAAGGAGCAAACTTTTCTTGTTAAAAAGTAATTATTCTCTTAATGCACAAAGAATCTAATCAGAGACTAATCAGAAACACTGACTAAATAGAAAAAAAAAATATCACCTAATGATTCGAAATTCTATAGGAAATCTTCATGGTTAAATTGTAGTGTTTCTTATATATGTGCATTGAACATGAGAGAAAACCCAATGAAAGGATAAAATAGCTACAGGCCATTTAAATTAATAAATCTAAAATTGTAAACTCAAAATTTTTAAAAATTGTTTAAATTACATAAATAAATTACCTAATATTTCAATTTAAAACTAAATATAAATATGCAAAAATAGCCCAACGCCTAAATTATTAGTGCCACCACCTAAGCTAATAGCTCTAAATGTTCTACAGACCTAACATTATATTAAAACAAAACACATCAGCCTATATTATTGCAGAGAATAGAAATCCATGTAATGCATGCCAAATATTGAGGAAAAATCTATATAAAGTCTTTCTAGTGCCAATGTTGATGAATTTTGATAAAGTATAATACAAAAAAAATTAGTATGAAAATAAATAATACCAATAATGAGTAAAAATTGTTTCAAATAATTTGTTTAAACAGAAACCGTAAAGTCTTGACTAACTTCAATATTCATTTACAATCAAAAGAATAACACAATTACCGTGTATTTTTTTTATCAATAGGCCAAAGCCACCAAAAAAAAAGGAAAAAAAAATATATATTAGGATAAAATTAACTATACAAAATTAATAGGGAAAATTACAAAAAAACCCCAAAATTTACTTTTTATGCACCTTACCCCCTAGCTAATTTTTATCTCAACTTTTTCCAAAAAACAAACTTTTATGAAAATACCCCCCCAAAGGAAAAAGTTCATTTTTTTGGATGAAAATGCCCTTCTCATAGCACGTTGCCGGAGCGCCCTTAAATAGTGTCGAAGCCCTGTCACAGGGGCTCTGGTACTGTGTAAGAGCGGTCTGACAGTGTAACACCGCACTCCGACAGTGCGTAAGTATGTTCCGACAGTGTAACACAACGCTCCGGCACTACGTGAGTGCGCTCCAGCAGTGACGCATTCTGAGTCACAGCGTTCCGACATTGTTTAAATGCGTTCCGACAATGTGATACGCGCTCCGGCACTGCGTAAGTGCGCTCTGGCAATGTAACATAGCTCCGGCACTGCGTATGTGCGCTCCGGCAGTGGAGCATTATGAGTCACAAGGCTCCGGCACTGTTGAAGTGCGCTCCGAAAGTCTACTACGGGAAGGGCATTTTCGTCTAGAAAAATGAACTTTTTCCCTTGGGGGGGTATTTACATAAAAAGCTTATTTTTTGGAAAAAGTTGAGAGAAAAAGTTAGTTGGGGGGTAAGTTGCATAAAAGGTATAGTTTGGGGGGTTTTTTTATAATTTTCCCAAATTAATATATCAATGTAAGCTGCAATAAAAATTAGTGGAAATCAATTTTTGTAATGCACAGTGCTACCAAGGAATTGGCCACTTTGAGTTTACATCATAATAAAAAAAATTTTAAAAAATAACATTTCATATTTTGCTTAAAACACAACGTACACATCCATGAAAAATAAAGAGCTTTTAATATCATAGTAAAAAACTAACAAATAAAAGACAGAAAATAAAGTATCTTAAAATTTGGCCAAAAATATAAATCAAGAAATAGAAAATAAAATAAAAAATATCACAAAAGTCATTAAAAAATGAAAGTTCCGATTAAACAAAAATAAGAATTTTATAAAAGATTTTTTCACCTTTTCCCATTATATCTAAGTACTTAAATGATGAACAGACTTTTTTTTTTTAAATACAGATATACGTAAATGTTTA